CAGTGGAGTGTCATTTGATTTCTTGACTGCTGCTTCTACTGTTTATGGATCCAAGTAAAATTAAAACCTTGACAACTTCAACCTTCTTCATTTATCTTGATATTGCTTATTGATCCAATTGTGATTTTTGTTGTTTTTACACTGAGATATAATCTAAATGAAGGCTGTAGTTTTTGATCTTCATCCATAAGTTCTTCTAGTCTTCTTCACTTTCAACACGTAAGGTGTGTCATCTGCATATCACAGGTTGTTGATGAATCTCTTCCTTCAATCCTGATGCTGTGTTCTTCATATAGTACAGCTTCTCAAATTATTGCTTAGCATACAGACTGACGCCCACTTTCCCTGATTTAAAACCATGCAGTATCCCCTTGTTCTATTTGAACAACTGTCTCTTGGTCTATGTACAGGTTTCACGTGAGCACAATTGAGTGTTCCAGTATTCCCATTCTTTGCAATATTATCCATAATAAAGTCATAATAAAGTCACATGCCTTTGCATTGTCAAAAAAACACTGGTAACTTTCTGGTAATCTCTGTTTTCAGTCAAGATTCATTTTACATCAGCAGTGATAGCTCTCTTTTCACATACTCTTCTGAATCCACTTTAAATTTCTGACAATTTCCTGTTTTATTATCTAAAGCAAAATTTTACTTGCATTTGATCTTGATACTATTGTATAATAATTTTTGCATACTGTTAGATCAACTTTCAACTTTACTTGCAAGTAATATTTTGTTAAAGATAATTCAAAAACAGCTGCAACTAGTATATTGACAAGGAACTGCCAGAGATTCAAGCCAGATTCAAACAAGGACAAGGAACTTGGGATATCATTGCTGACATCATATGGATCTTTGCTAAAAGCAGAGAATATCAGAAAGATGTTTACCTGTGCTTTATTGATTATGCAAAAGCTTTTGACTATGGATCATGACAAAATATGGACAACACTGTGGAGAATCAGTATTCTGGAACACTTGATTGTGCTCATGAGGAACCTGTATGTAGACCAAGAGGCAGGTCCTTTGTACAGACCAAGGGGACACTGTATGATCTAAAATCAGGAAAGATGCACATCAGGGCTGTATTCTTTCACTATACTCATTCAATCTATATGCTGAGCAAAAAATCTGAGAAGCTGGATTATATGAAAAAGACCATGGGATCAGGATAGGAAGGAAGACTCAGTAACAACCTGTGATATGCAGATGATACAACTTTGCTTCAAAGAGGACTTACAATATTGGTGAAGATCAAAGATCACAGCCTTTGGTATGGGTTGAATCTCAATATAAAGAAAACAAAAATCCTCACCACTGGACCAATAAACAACATTCTTATCAATGGAGAAAAGACTGAAGTTCTTGGAACAACTATCAACACTAATGGAAGCAGCAGTGAAGAAATGAAACGATGCATTGCATTAGGTAACTCTGCTGCACAAGACCTTTTTAAAGTGTTGAAGAGCAAAGACGTCAGCTTGAAGACTAAGATGCACCTGACCCAAGCCATGGTATTTTCAATAACCTCATATGCATGCAAAAGCTGGACAGTGAATAAGGAAGACCATAGAAGAATTGATGCTTTTGAGTAATGGTGTTGGAGGAGAATATTGAAAGTGCCATGGGCTGCCAAAAGAACCAATAGATCCGTGTTGGAAGAAGTGCAGCCAGAGTGCTCCTTGGAGGCCAGGATGGCCAGACTTCATCTCTCATATTTTGGACACATTGTCAGGAGGGACCAGTCACTGGAGAAAGATACCGTGTTTGGTAAGGTGGAGGGTCAGAGAAAAAGAGGAAGATCCCAAGCGAGATGGATTGGCAAAGTGGCAGCATCAATGGGCTCAAGTGTGGCAACAATTGAGAGGTTGGCCCAGGACCAGGCAGTGTTTCCTTCTGCTATGAGTCAGTACCGTATAGTTGTTACGAATCAGTCAGCTCTTCGAAACTACCAGCTGTTCCTGTTCCGTGGAAGAAAGATAAGGCTTTCTGCTCCCATAAAGATTTACAGCCTCGGAAACCCTGTACTAGGTCGCTATGAGTCAGAACCAACTCCAGGGCACATAACAACAACAACAAAAGTTAGCGGAACCGAAAGGCTCATCTTTCTCTCGCTGAGCAGCTGGTGAGCGTTGCAGTCCAGTGCTTATCCTACAGAGCTACTGCGCCCCTATTCTTTCCATTTGTTGTTTAGTGCGTGGAGCTGGTCCTGACTCAAGAGACCCTGTAGAGGGCTTCAGGGGCTCTAAATCTTTGAGGGAGCAGAAAACCTCATCACCTTCTAGAGTGGGCTTAAAAAAGAAAACTAAACAAATTTTATTTTACTTTTTTTAGGAAGAGAAGCGGATGAATCCTCCAAATGGGAAATCACTTGAAATCATTTTTACAGCCGAGCACAGACGCTCCGAGTCCTGGTGTGGCACTGTGGGTTAATGAGCGGGACTGCAAAGTCGGTTTGAACAGCTCACCAGCCGCCCCTGGTAAAATGCTACACAAGGGTTAGAAACGCTGGACAGGGTCCATATGGGTCGGAGCCGACTCGATGGCACTTGACAACAGGCGTTTGGTCACCTTTTCTTGGAAGAAAAGGGGAAGTGGAGAGGCAGGAAGTGCAACTGTTTTTTGCTGTTAACTGTTTTGTTTTTTAAGACAGTACTGGTCGCATCTGAGTGAATTTGAACTTCTGTTTGAATAAAAAGCCCTACCTCCTGGAAACTCCGGGTCCTGGTGTGGGGCTGCGGGTTAATAACCACAAGGTCGGCCGCTTCTCGGAAAATGTATGGCACTTTAACAAACACTCTGTAAACTCTAAAGAGAAGGATAAGGTCTGTTTCCGTAAAGACTTACAGTCTCCGAAACCCTATGACTAACCATAAACTCATGTCAGCTCTTAATCGGTGGCGACTTTCCCACCGACAGGCGCCTTGGAGAATCGAAACTTAGTGTTCTCCAGCTTCCGGGAAGGCGGAAGAAGCTCAGCTACCCCAGAACAGCCATGGCGCAGGCGTGCGGGACCGGCTCTGGCTGCCTCCGCGGGCCCGATCTGGGAGCCGAATCTGGCGTGCTCTCCCAGCCGGGGGGTGCTGTGTGCCCTAGAGGGGCAGTCGGGCAAGGCAGCGGGGCCATGCTTGCCTGGGCTCCAGGATCGCAAATCCCTACAGCGGCCTGCTGTGTGCCAGCGGCAATGGAGTGCGGCCCTGCGGGAAGAACTGAGGACGTGCATCTGCCAGCGAGAGGTAGTAAGTGTTACATTTCTCTCTCCTGTTGTGGATGAGACACCTGGTAGCTAACGACAACCCTACCACATTAGAACTACAGGTACCAAAGAACCCCAAGATTAACGGGGTAGGGTGCTCCCCTAGCAAGTTTCTACACAGTCTTAAACAGTATAGTTGGATGCCATGGTAGTGGTAGGCTTACAAAGTCTTCACCCAGGCTTGAACCCATGTTGTGTTCTCCACTTACTAGAACAAACCTTCAAAGACCCTCTGCTTGAATGAGCAAAGCCATTGCCTGGACTCGTTCTATACTTCCACATGGATAGAACTTCTGTACTTGTATGAACCAGACACAAGGCTAGAATTTGTTGCTATTGTTAAGTGTCATTGAGTTGGTTCTATTCATCCACCCTGCGTAGAGTTTCCAAGGAATGGCAGTAGGTTTGAACACCAGTATTGCGGTCGATCCTACAAGCGCCACAACAGGGCTAGAGTCTGGGATAGAAACATGAGTTAGGCCTACAGAAGCTTATGTTTTTAGGTTGATTTGGACTCAGGAGCCCTTGTGACACAATAGCTGCTCCATAAGGTTTTCTTGGCTGTCATCTTTATGCAAGCAGATTGCCAGGGATTTTCCTTCAGAGCTGCTAGGTACATTTGAAATTGGTGAGCTGCTTACCTACTTCACCACCAGAGCTCCTTGTTGTTGTTGTTGTTAGGTGCCATCGAGTCGGTACCAACCCATAACGACCTTATACACAGCAGAACGAAACACTGCCCAATCGTGGGCCAACCTCACTACTGTTGTCACGCTTGAGTCCATCGATGCTGCCACTTGGCCAATCCACCTTGTTGGGGGGTCTTCCTCTTTTTCTCTCACCCTCCACCTTACCAAACATGATACCCTTCTCCAGGGCTCCTTGAGAAAGTTTTAAAACCCATTGCTATCGAGTGAATTATAGTGATCCTAGTCCTGGTGTGGTACTGTGGGTTAATGTGCCAGACTGCAAAGCCCTTTGAACTGCAAGGTTGGCAGTTCAAGCTCACCAGTCGCTCCTCAGAAACCCTATATAGGGTCGCTGTGGGTCGGAACCAACTCGACGGTACTTAACAACAACAACATAGGACATGTCAGAATCCTGGTGTGGTGCTGTAGGATAAGCACTAAACAGTTAACTGCAAAGTCAGCAGTTCAAACCCACCAGCTGCTCCTTGAAAACCCTATGCAGGGTCTCTATGCGTCAGAACCGACTTGATGGCACTTAACGACAACAGTGTATATGGAATCCAATCTGAGGAGTCACAGGAAATGAGGTTCTAAGCTGACCTCATTCTGGCAAACTCCAAACTGGTATATCTGCCGGGGACTGGCCTCCACATAGGAACTTGGTTCACGAGGAGGGGATACCTGGCGGCGATAGGGATAGCAAAAGAGACACAGAGACGCAAAGAGAGAGACAAAGAGACACTCCGAAACCAGGGTGGATGCTGGACTGGCATCAGGCAGATCCTGCGTTGCAAACACCTCCGCCACGAAGGCCGTAATATCCTGCATAGTAAACATCTTAGCTAAACAGGCAGTATGGTTGCAAGGCTGGACTGAGCCCCCTGCATGCTGTAAAGCACGCTTTGCCGGTCGTATTATCACCTGGATTCATTCTGCGCCTTCCTTTTATTTAGGGGAGGTACTTTACACAAAGCTAGGAGGGACTAAGACAAGGTACAGCTGTCAATCTTACTTTTCCAGACATTCAGGCAACTTTACATCATACTTTGCAGGTTCGAATCTCACAACCGCAACTTGGTTTCTCAAGCTTAATTAACATACCTTTTAGCACCTAGCCTCAAATGGGGGGAAGAAAAGGAGGATTCCCATTGTGTCAGTTGCCCAGCCCAGGTCCTTCAGGAAAAGAGGCGCCTGGGTGAATGGGCTGCACCTGGAAACACTTTAGAGAGGGCATTCCTATTGTCCTTAGAACAGACCACGGAGCCACCCAATTTACTTTGAATGAATTCTCTGAGGAAAAAACTTTGCCTGTTTGGAATTTTACAGTCTTGGCTTTTAGGAAAATATTACATTTATCTGTGGATATCAACGGCTCATGTTTGGAATTAATAAATATAACTGAACACTAAGATGAAAAACAATTTGCTATGACTGCCAGTGGCCAGAATTTTTTCCTCAGAGCCTGTGGCCTGTATAGTCGACACGGTCTGCAACATATATCCAACTGCTTGCATGTCTCAAATGATCTCAAATTCTTTTTTCCCCCTTACATAAACCTACAAACTCTTGAACACACTCACGCCTTATCCTTTACCATTCCATTGACCCAGTTGCCCAGAGCAAAGACCTTAGCAGTCTCTTTTTCTCTCCCTCAGTTAATCCATTCGGGCTAGTCAGTTGTCTTTGAAGTATATCTTGAGCCTGATCGTTTCTCACTACCTCTATTACTACCATCCTGCATTGGCAGAGTTGAATTGCCCCATAGGGTTCTTTATGGGATCAGATCATGAGGTCTTTCTCTCTAGAAGCCACTGGGTGGGTTTGAACCACCTACCTTTTAGTTACTTTTAGTTTCAATACATGCAGTTAACCGTTTGTGACATCAGGGGACCTTTTACTTACAAGGAGGCTTCAAAAAGTTCATGGAAGAATACAATGAAAAGATCATGGATTTTTCCCATGAACTTTTTGAAGTCCCTCAAATATGACTAATAAAGGATTAATATCCCAAATACTCATAGATGATACACCAAACCAAATCCACTGATGTTGAGTCAATTCTAATTCATAGCAATCCTATAAGATTAGAGCTGTCCTATAAAGGTCTCTGAGGCTGTCAACCTTTTCAGAACCTAAAACTTAAATTAAAAACTGATGTGGGGGAGAATTGGCATCACTGTAATACCCAGCTCTCCTATCCAAAACCAAACCCACTGCCAGTGAGTTGATTGCAACTCATAGCAAACTTACAGGAGAGAGTAGAACTGTGTCTTAGGGTTTCCAAGACAAAATTTTCACAATTGTAGACTCCTATGAGTAGTTGGGAGGTTTGAACCACCAACCTCTCGGTTGGTTAGCTCTTTGCTTAATCCACTGTACAGCCAGGGCTCCTTCCCTCCTATTCAGGAGGGTAGTATATTTCCCTCTACTTATTTTGATTGAACTTTAAAAACACCTTTTTCATCATATCATTTTTCTTGTCTTTGCATAATCAATAAAGCACAGGTAAACATATTCCCCTGCTCAGTATCCCTTTGTGGCAACCTCTGAGCATCTGTTTCTAGAATTTGTTTCTAGCATTCTTTGCACAGACTCCCTTCTTCAGCTCTGCCCATTTATTATTTTCCAGGGAGTCTTGGCACTGTGGGATAAGCACTGGACTGCAAGGTTGATTTAAACCAAAAGATCAGAAGTTCAAACTCACCAGCCACTCCTGGGAAACCCTGCACAGGGTCACTATGAGTCAGAACCAACTTAACAACAACAATAAATGCATTGAAGATCTCTAGGTCTCAATCAATTTTGAAGTAGACTTCTAATCTGGTGTGACAGTTAACCTCATGGTTGGCGGTTCAAACCCACCAACTGTTCCTTAGAAACTCTGTACAGAGCTGCTATGACTCGGAACAGTACTTAGCAACAACATGAAATAGAGATGTCATCTTTCTTTTCCTTTTAACATATAATTAGCCAGAGCACTGTTTGTTTAAAACACTATATTTTCTTTGTTGACTTAAAATAACAATTACCATTATTATTGAAATTGTGCTGTGGGTATGGCGGTGTTTTAAGAGTTTTGTGGTTATTAAGTGCCATTGAGTCAGTACCGACTCATAGCAACCCTATGCACAACAGAACGAAACACTGCCCAATCCTGGGCTAACATCACAATTGTTGCCACTCTTGAGCCCATTTTGCCAATCCATCTCGCTGGGGGTCTTCCTCTTTATCTCTGACCTTCCCCCTTTCCAAACATGATATCCTTCTCCAGCAGCTGGTCCCTCCTGACAATATGTTCAAGGTATGAGAGACAAAGTTTGGCCATCCTGATCTCCAAGGAGCACCCTGGCTGCACTTCTTCCAACACAGATCTGATTGTTCTTTTGGCAGCCCATAGTAATTTTAATATTCTCCTCCAACATTGTAACTCAGATGCATCAATTTTTCTACGATCTTCCTTATTCACTGTCCAATTTTCGCATGCATATGAGGTTATTGAAAATATCATGACTTGGGTCAGGTATACCTTAGTCTTCAAGCTGACATCATTGCTCTTCAACACTTTAAATGGTTTTGTGCAGCAGATTTGCCTAATGCAAAACGTCATTTGATTTCTTGGCTGCTGCTTCCATGAGTGTTGATGGTTGATCCCAAAAAAAACAAAGTCTTTGATAACTTCAATCTTGTCTCCATTGATAAGAATGTTGTTTATTGGTTCAGTGGTGAGGCTTTTTGTTTTCTTTATATCGAGATGCAATCCATGCCAAAGGCTGTGCTCTTTGATCTTTATCAGTAATATTTTAAGTCCTCTTCACTTGTAGCAAGCAAGGTTGTATCAGCTGCATATTGCAGGTTGTTAATGAATCATCCTCCAATCTTGATGCCACTTTTCGTCATATAACTCAGCTTCTCAGATTATTTGCTCAGCATACAGGTTGAATAAGCATGGTGAAAGAATACAACCTTGTCGCATACCTTTCCTAATTTTAAACCAGTAAGTGTTCCCATGTTCTGTTTGAACAATTGCCTCTTGGTCCAGGTACAGATTCCTCATGAGCACAATTAAGTGTTCAGTAATACTCATACTTTACAATGTTGTCCAGAGCCTGTCATGATCCTCACAATCGAAAGCCTTTGCATAATTCAATAAAGCACAGGTAAACATCTTTCTGATATACTCTACTTTCAGCCAAGATCCATCTGGTGTTAACAATGATATCCCTTGTTCCACGTCCTGTTTTGAATCCGGCTTGAATCTCTGGAAGTTCTCTTGTCAATGTATGCTTGCAGCTGTTTCTGTATTACCTTTAGTAAAACTTTGCTCGCACTGGATATCGAAGATATTGTCCGATGATTTCC